ATGTTTTGGAATATTAACCTGAAACATAGCGCCTAAGCGCTGCTACTGTAGCAATGCAGTAGCGCCAAGGCACTGCTACAGTACCTGATCGTGATTTTTCTCTCCTACTTCGTTTTGGACTCGATTTTTTGGCATCCTACTTCATCAACAACTCTACCAAAAAGGTTTGGACGTCTCCTACATGTTCCCTATAAATACTAAACTCTTCTATATAATTTTTGGTAACAATTACATGTGAGAAAATAGATTACTAGAATTATAGGTTCTATTGTAATTTCTCTCGTTTCCATTATTTATGATGCAATAAAATCTCTTAATTCATTTACCATATTATTGTCTTCTTTATTCTTTTACTTAATCAAACACTTCATTATTATTTGTCATATAATTTCAACATCTCAATCTGATGATTGGTGTCACAACAAATGGTATCACTCCTAACACACTCCAATGGTCATAATTTCGATCACAATAGAAAGGGATTATTAGCCACAACCTAAGTGCCAATTTTTTTGAGTTTTCATGCCAAAATAATGGTTCTATGTACCTTTCAATTTTGGTGATATTTTCCATACGAATTTTCACCATTTTTCTACCATTTTTTTCTCCATTGCTAGATAAAAGAAATTGGAGGTTTTATGGAAATTATGAGAGGTTATGGGGAGTTGTGGATTTGAATTCCAAATTCAAATCACTCCCTCCAACTCTTTTGGTATCTTGTAGGTCGGGTCACCCTACATGGACGACCCATGTTCTATATTTTCTAACACTTTTCATCTACAACTATAGTTATCTATAACATTGTTCTAATAAATAGAATCGTACAAGTTTCTTAAATCATATGCTGATATTTCTAGTAAGAAATGGATAGTTACTTCCAAACCAAACTATGAGCTATCTAAACTTACGTTTATAAATACTCGTTAAAAGTCAAACCACTAATTATTCATAAATTTCACATGACTCACAATTTATTATAAGTATTTAATAGGTTGCTCTCGGACTTGTAAAATGGAAAAAAATGTCATCTCTCTTTTCATTATGATTGTATAATAAATCTTCCATGATCGAAACCGTTCAATTATATGTTAAAACATGACTTGACTTATAAGTTCAACTTTATGAAGTCAGAATTTATTCTAAACGTGAAATGTGTGCAAATATTTGAAAGCAGACACGTTTATGTAAAGGGGCAGTTCCCAACCAATAAATTTAATAAATAATTTTAACACTTAATTTAAGCTAATTTGATGGTCTAAATAGGGTAATTGGCGCAAAACGTCCTTACCTTTGTCTGTCTATGTGGAAAACGTCCTTATCTTTCGTTTTTTAGTGCAGAACGTCCCTACCTTTCACATTCTTTGCGCTGAATGTCCTTTTCACCAATTTTTAACCTAAAATGACCTATATACCCTCCCATTTAAATAAAACAAAAAGGAAGAGAAAAGAAAAATAAAAAATAAATTGCAATATGCTACTTAATTTTTTTAAAAATGCAAACCAGTCAAAAAAAAAGTGGTCATACAATCGTTATTCTTTCTGAAGGGCTATTAATTTTTTGGCAAAATCATTGGCCATACATAGAGGGGTAACCGCCCTTAAAGAATTCCCGATCTCTCCATACACCTCATTCTTCCTTCCCAAGCTGCTAAACTTAGCTATTGCTTCTTACTTAAAGTAGCTCAGTGTTCCAAATATGTCGCTTATTTGAGTGTAACTTACAGATCTAGAGAAACACTTGGCATGTTTCGAAAGAGGATATAACAGTGATTTCTACTTCAACCGTGTT